AAATGAGTGAAGAGCCTAATTTAAGCACCCAAATTTACACACATATACTTTATGTACACATATACTTTCATTTATAAAATGAATATTGTGTTTAGGAATCCTTGGAGGTAAAAGGCCTTATATAAATGTAAGAAAGTAATATGGGCATGCTCTAGCTTCTGGGGGAAATATTAAACCTTCTGTCAAGAATGAGAAAAGGCACCAGAGATTATGGAAATCTGACTACTTCTGTAACCTCCTGTAGGCCTTACTTCAAACTCATGATGTAGTGGCACATGAAGTTTACAGTGACGAAGCTTTGAGAGTTACGCCTCCTCCCACCTCTCCATACTTAAACGGAGATTCTCCAGAGAGCGCCAACGGTGACATGGATATGGAGAATGTAACACGAGTCCGACTGGTACAGTTCCAGAAGAACACAGATGAACCAATGGTATGTAGGCAACAGTACTGTTCTCTTTCCTCTGTAAAGAGGAAGAGGTGACAAACTATCTTAGTAGTTTCAAACCACAGCGTTTATACACAAAAGTTGTACTGTTTTAACTGTATGAGTATAGTTGAAGGGTGGTACAACCAACATTATGTGGACACAGTAAAACCAGTTTAAAAGTGCTTATACCAGTATAGCTTATTCCCATATGGAAAGGGAAATAAGCTGTACTGGTATATGTATTCTGATAAAAGCAAATCACAGCTCTAACTGAAATAGTTATACCAGCACAAAAACTGTGTAGACCTGGCCTTAAAATGTAAAATAGTACTGGATAGTTTGCAGTTTAATAAATTACTTTATTTTAATAAACTAATGGTTCTTATGGATTGTTTGTACAGCAGCTACAGTCTTGAAGAGCTCTAAAAACATGATAAAAAGAAACCATGTTAGTGGAGTTGCACAGTTTGACACTCCCAATTACATAAGTCCAAGAACAGATGCCCTGTTAAGATTTCATAAGGAGGAATGTATTTTGAATACACTTCTCCAAAACGCTGTTATACGGTATACATTTTTTATTGATTAGTATAGACTATAAAATATGTAAAATTATTTAATGCTATAGCCTGCATACTAAATGACTGTGTCTTCATCTTATAAAGAATCATTGTCTTTACTGGTAGTTAAAAATGCATCTGTGTTTTAACCAAATTTTATCCGTTTTTTAAAATGGGAAATTAGTTCAAATAGTAAATGGAAAGACCTGTAAAAAGAATATTCCATCTCTGGAAAACAAATGATATACTTTGATTTTTGATGGGGCTTGGAAAATAGCAAAAGAGGAAACCGTGTGTATGTTCAGCATCTGGAGTGTTTCCATAATAAGTTTTATGGCGGTTATTTGATCTCATAAGAGCAACAGTGTATAAATTCATAAACTAAAGGTGAAATTCTGGCCTCTTTGAAGTCAATGGCAAAACTCCCATTGATTTCAATAGGGCCAGGATATCCCTCTAAAACATAGCTTCATCTCAAGCTTGCAGCAGAAGTGACCATTCTTAGTAGTTGAAGAAGCAGGTTGCTGAATATTTTTTCTTAATGATTTAACAATTTCTTTTACTAGGGAATCACTTTAAAAATGAATGAGCTGAACCATTGCATTGTTGCAAGAATTATGCATGGAGGAATGATTCACAGGCAAGGTAATCTTAGGATGTAAATGATTTTATTCTCAAATTGGATTACTCCCATAATCAAATACATTTTGTGTAACAAGTGAGACCCTGATCCTAAAACTTACTGTTCAACACCAATGGATCCCTGTGTCTGCATGGAGTCCCATTAACTTCACAGGGTCACCACTCAGGTGCAAGAGTCTGCTCACCTGGAAGAAGTTGCAGGAAGGGGCCCTGAGTGTTAAATTTTTGCTTTAATAGGTAATGATGCAGGTCGTCTCAAATTGCTTCTACGGAATATCAGTTCTAAAGTGTATGTAATTTTGGAAAGTGTATTTATCTAATTCTTTTCTAAAATTCTCAGAGTAAGCACAGTATTTTTTCTTGATATATCAAAAGTCTCTGTTCAGCAGAAATTCCACATTTCTCCATGTATTGTCACAGAACTTCTGAGACTCATGGCAGTTTGACTGCTGAGATACCGAAATGTGAATCTGGAACCAAAACTTTTCTCACCCATGCAGCTTGTACCTTTGTGTTTGGCTTTCACTGCTCTGAGCTGTTGCCAGACCTTTAGACCTGTGCCTGTTCCTCGGTTCCACTCCCATCCTGTGTGCCCAGATATATGTCAAAAGTAATTAATGGCTGAGCTGAGAGTTACCTACTCAGTAGTGAAACTAACCCTGGCAGACTGCAGATATGAGTTGTGTCTCTAGGGAAGTTTGCAATTTGAAAACTGTCATTTTGTGCCACTGATCAAACTTTTCTTAAAAGTGGCAGATTTGAATTTGTGTGAACTTGTATATTTGCTTAACGGGACACCATCAGCTTGAATCTAGTCAGCTTTTTAAAATGAATAGAAAAGGAGATTTGGCATATAAGAGCCACAGTTGCTTTTTTGTCATTGACTTCCTTTGGGATCACTTAGATGGTAGTCATCCTCCATGTAGTAGATAGTTATTAGTTTGTATAATAGCCACAGCTGTTTCCAAAATCAGAGGGATAGATCCTTTTTAACTTGTTATAGAATTTTCCACTATACCCATCAGAGGATGGTGCCTTGCTATTTTTAAATTATTGTACAACGTCTGGAATTTCTGAAATTTCTCGAAGGTATTTAAGCTTTTCTGTTTGTGCTTTATTTAGCTTTGGAATGCTTCTGAGTATATTCAGAAGTCTTGAAATATTATTACTCTTTTCTGAGTCTTCTCCATATAAACGTAGGCAAAATGCAGCAAATGCTTTAGCATTTTCATTACTTGTTCATTTTTCTTAAATGTCTATTGGTGTTTTAATCTGATTACCACTCTAGATGCTTGTTGCTTCCTCGGTTGGTATTCCAGGAGTCTGCTGACTTTTTATTAAGTTATTCAAAATTTCTTTGAGTTGTCCAGTTTATCAACTAAAATGTAAGCTGGCAGTAGTTTCAGGTGCTACACCAGCCCCTGAATCCCATTACCGATTTTTGAGGGTTTACCATCACATTTTCTTATTTTTAAAAATTGTTTCTTTTCTTCTATTAATGTGAGGAAGAACAGAGGGCTTCCTAACTAAACAGGGAAACTGACAATACACAGAGGACTGTCAAATACTCAAAGTAAACAAACTGGAAAAATAGCAAAGTATAATTACCCCCATTTTAAAAATGGGGAAGCAGAGGTTGGAAGCTGAAGTGACTTGCTCAAAATGAGTAAGTGGCAGAGCTGGAGTTAGATCTCAAGACTTCCTGACACTCCGTGTTTCTCAGTGTGGGGCATTTTAATTAATCATAAATTAATCACTGAAATAATTAATGTGTTGGATTCAGATCCCAAAAATTCAAGGGGAATAAAAAGGTTAAATAGCGACTTTGAAATGCTGTATGAATTTGTATAGACTTGTGTATTCTCTTAAAGGGACAGCACCAACTGGAAATCTAGCTGGACTTGACATAAAAGATTAAAGGAATACTGTCAGTTTAATAATGGGACTTCTATTTGAACTTTTACTTACCTACTATTGTTACAAGAAACTTTTAAGATTACTAGTCATGAAAGAGATTAGAAACAATGTTGACCCACCTCTAAAGGGATTTGCAATGTCTATAGTGCTTTGAACAAGTGCTTAGTAATGGGTTGTTCTAAAATAAAAGGTGTAGTTTTTTATAGAAACAATTTAATTGTCAAAATGTCTTTTGTCCTCTCGGGAACAACTTATATTTAGGTATTTGGTTCTGTAGTTCCCATAGAACTGTTTTTAATCAAAAGTAAACGTAATCTCGAAGTGGAGATTTTTCATTTTCAGTTACAGCAATAGTGAATTATTAACCAAATATAACAACAACAAAAATCTAACTTCCTTGTTCTGTTTTATGAGACTAACTAAATATTCATAGTAGTTTTTATTTCTAATAGTCTCCTGCAATCAGTGATCAAATACAGTGCATGTGATTGTATCACTTAATGTTCTGTCCCCTATGTGGCTTATTAGCTTCAACTGGATATCATTCCATATATTCAATATTCAGCCAAATGCTATAATTTATATATTCAATACACTCTTAATTTTTCTGCTGTAGCTCTCAATGGCTGCATGCCAGTGTCAGTTTTCTTTTCTTCATCAGTTGGCAATGTGGCAGGTGAGCTAATTTTTGTGCTCTCACCTTTTTCTTTGTCCATCATAATCAGTGTTTCCCAAGCAGGGTCAACCTGTGCAAAGACTCTTTCGTCCTTGCTCCATGTGAACTGGTAATAACACCCCAGTTTCAATCTTTAAGAATTGTTCACTTTGGGGATAAGTGAACAGATTATATTTTAAATTCAGCCACAGAGGCTTATTTATGTTTGAGCTTTTGTCCTCATATCAGTGCTTTAACACAGAATACTTGTGGGTTTTACTCATCTGGAGAATATGTTTAGACTCCAAATGGTGTTCCTGCGTTTTTCTTGCATCTCCTGTACTACAGCTAGACTTCCTGGCAGCTTCAAGCATCCAAAACCCAAGTGTCTGGGTTTTCTGCTGTTAAAGTTTTTGTTTTGGCACATTTGTGTCAACAGGTGTATTCATTTTAAATAGGCATCAGGCACCTATGCTACTGCTGACCCAGGAAACAGACTTCCTGCAGAAGACATGGCACTGCAGATTGCCTATTCATATCTGTAAGAAAATGACTTAATTTGGAGCTCCCACAAATAGTTAAACCATGAATCTGTAAACACCCATGCCCTAGGACAACTAATAGAGCATTTTATGAGCAAAGATGATGCTGTTATAACAGCATGAATATGATTACATGGTGAAAAGAGACTACTGTGGTGTACATGGACTGCCTCCAACTTTGCCAGCTGCAGAACTCTCCTCCAGCTGCAGAATTTGCTTCCTCAGAGGAAACTGTTCCCTGTTCTGTCCAGCAGGGTGAGGGGTGTCTCAGACTTTTATACATAGCAAGAGCACATACTGGCTGATGATGTGCTAATTTGGGTTAGGTGAAGGCAGAGGAAGAAGATTGCCAACCCATGGGCACCCTGTTCTTTATTATCATCAATTTATTTATATATTGCCATTGATACAGAAAAATACAAAATACAGTTGGTAAAATAGAAAATACAAAATACAGAAAAGCCCCTACCCAAAAGAGCCTACAGTCCAAAGTCTGAATAAATACAATACAGATAATAAATGAGGAGTCAGAACAGGGAGTGCTAATCAGATGTACACCATGGTATGGGAGTCATTAGGCTGGGGAGAAGGCACCACATGGAGATGCCAAGAACATCACCTCCCAACAGAAAAATGGGGAGAGGCTGTCCCAAAACGATTAAAGCCTCAAACCTCCCTCTCTCTCCAGTGACCCATTCTGACCCCTTTCTCCCAGCTATTAGCCAACCCAACTCTCCACCAAGACAAAAGGACAGAAGTCTTTAAATCCCCTCTCAGCTGCCCACCTCCTACACACACCAGCTGCTATCGTCCAGTTATGGATTGTCAGTACTAGCTTCTGCCACAGAGTAAAATAAATGGAAAACATTCAAAAGAAGGGATTGTATTTAACTGTATTATCAAAATGACTAACCTTATGAGCATATTCATGATATTTATTTCAATTTTTCATTCAATCATAATTTGTGTTTGGATGTTTCCCAGCAATGTTTTTACACTGTTGCAGAAAGTATAGCATGCCAGGGGATATTGTGCATTATTGTGCCATAACAATGAAGGTGTCTGCATGCAGAGCTTAGTTCCAGCGTGGTACAGAGCTCTAATTATTTTGGAATCAAATATATTTTTGTAGAAGGTGTGAAGTGCTGAGAAAGTTTGCCAATGCTGAACTTGTATAACTTTTTGTTAGAGGGTTAGGTGGTCAATACGCCAGCTGTGAGCTGTTTTCATTTGAAATTCAAATACAGAGCTGCTGCATTCACATACAGTAAACCACTAACTGTGATGAATCCTGATTAATGTTCCACAAGGCAGGACAGAGGAATTGCACTGGAGTCCCTACCCCTTTTTGCTGTCAATAGGAAGCTCCTGTGGAATTGATTAAAACATTTTCTGTGGGATGGAGGACTTTCTCCTGAACAGATTAAAAGTTTGAGTAATCCTGTTCTGTAGCCTTCTGGGAGCTTTAGTGGTCCGCAGGGCTTTGTAGCAGTGTTACAGACTAGAGTCCAAAGGGTAATCAGGCATTGTAGTTCATGATAGTGCCTGTTAGGACAGCTCTAGTTAAGTCAGGCTCTCTTTCTGTTATAAAGCACATGGTTTTGGAATTCAATATTTCTGCCATTTCAAATTAAGCTGAAATTTAAAACTCAGATCATTAGCATGAATGTATTTTTTTTTCTTCAATCAATATGGTCATTTTAGATTTCGCAATCCACAAAAACACCATTCATAGCTTAGGTGATTTATTGCCAACATCCGTTTCCACAGTGGCTTCATTTTGAAAAATAGATTGCCAGCTGTTGGTTCTTCAAGTAAAACTAATTGTGTTTGGTAAAGTATTTTGAAAAGAATACTTGGCAAATGAATTTAGTTAATTCACAAAACAAAAAGTAATATAGTAAATGTATAGTGAATGGACTACCCATGTAGAATGATGGCCTTGCTACATAACAACCACTAGCAACCACATTATTTTACTGTATAATCTATCACAATATGCGCATTTTTCTTAGCATCCAAAGCTGCATTGGAATGGACAGCACATTCGCACCATTGATTTCAATGAGACTTTGTATGGTAAAAAACATGTACAGTTATGCTCTGTAAAGACAGGAAAAAATATATTTAATAACAATTTAAAAATCACGGTTTCTAGAGTGGAATTGTTCACTCTGAGTTCCACTGCTTTGTGGGTTTCAGCTAGACACTAAACTCTTATTTTAGCATTTTATTTTAATGTCTTTGTACTGCCAATCTCTGTTTGAGTTTTGGTATTATTTCACAGTTATATTATAAATGTACACATTAACTATTTGTTTTGTTAATTCTGCAGGTACACTCCATGTAGGGGATGAAATCCGAGAAATAAATGGAATCAGTGTAGCAAACCAAACAGTGGAACAACTACAAAAAATGCTTGTAAGTCCCTAAAAGTTTGTTGACATTGGTTGTTTAATATTTTTTAAATAAACAACAAAATTAATCCTTTTTTCTTTTAACAAAGCCTCTCTAAATCACAGTGTTCTTCTTTGTCCTTCCTTTCTTGGTAGCTTACCTGATCCCCCAACACAATCCCTTTCCCCATCCTAATTTCCCCCCCCAAAAAATTATTTAATCAATTAAGCAGTGCCCTAGCAAACCACAGACTTCTCCAGGGTTTCTTCTACCGTATCCTTTGTGCATGGAACCCCCTCCCTGAACTAATCCATCAGACGACTATCCTCTCCTCCTTCAAATCCTCTTTTGTGATGCCTCCAAGTGTTTGAATAAATAGGCCATGGTGCAAGTGGCTGAAAGGCACTTGGCATAGATCCATACATACTTACTGGAGACAATCCAGTATAACACAAAGAAAAGGGCATATTTTAAAATTGTGTCTATTAGATTGTCTCCATCTCTTTCAGTACCTACCATATATATGTTACCTGAGAGCTAAGATTATAAATTCTTCAGGAGCAGGAATCATGGCTACCTCTGTACAGTGCCAAACACAATGACAATCTTCCTTTTTGTGACTTTATTATTTATATTATGATCATTTCAAAACCCTGTTGTAAGCAGCATACAGTAAAGCATAAGATTTTGTTATCTTTATTATCTTTGTCTTCATAGCTACAGATGTAATTAATTACCCAAACTTTTTAAAATCCCACCACAGTATTTGACTCCCAACACCTTTTCCAATAGTGAACTTCACAAGTTTGACGCTAATTAGTATAAAATAATATTTTAATCTGTCCTTCCCATTGATTTAATCAAGTGACCCTTTGGTCTCATTACTGGGCAAGGTAAAGAAAAGGGATTGACAGATTTTCACTATGCTTTTCATAGTTTTCAGTATGTCAATTATCTTGTTCCTGTTGAAGATGTATTTCTTATTATTTCTACCTTTAACAGAGTGAAAGGCATCTGTTATAATAATTGGAACTATTCCTTCTTTTGCAAGCATATGTTCATATGGGTACTTCACCATAGGCTGCACGCACCCATGTGCCCTTTTGACAGAAGATTTGAATTAGAAGTGTCCGTGAGTCCATGCCTGCACATTACAGAGGCTTGTGCTTTAGAGCAAAGGCATATAGAAAGGAGTGGACCTGCTGCTACTACAGTTCCTTTTCAACTGGCTGCAACTTGAAATGGAGCAACTGCATGACAGCTGCTTCCTAGCAGATGTTACCAGTTCTTGAACTTGTTTGCTTTATTCTTTTCTTCTTTATTTTCTCTAATATTTAGTTTACATTTTGTTTATCTTTTCCCCTTCTTTCCACAAATTTATTACATTTTAGAAGAGTTCAAGACACCACCCCCTTCCCAGTTCAGAACCAGTTCCTTGGCTTTTCCACCAGCCTTACTCTAGAAGTATGACAAAAGCCCCAGAATTCATAGCCTTCCAGACCTGCAGTAGATATTTCCCTCAGAGCACCGGGCTTTCTAGCGGTCTTCAGAGTCTCAGAGACTTTCATATCCCATTGAAGTGCAAAGTTTGCACAGGATTTAAAAGGGAGATGAGATTGAAGTTTCTCCTTATGGAACACTCTTGAAGACCTGCAGGGTCTGAGTCCCGTCGTCGTCCCGTCCCCCCGTCCCCCCGTCCCCCCAA